AAAATATACATTTTATGGTAATTATGGTGTTCTAAATTCTAGCATAGCTCTAGTTAAAATTGTTTACACTTTTGCTCCATTAAGTGAAGTACATTATTTACCGATACTTTTTGCCCATTTGAAACAAGTTTCAAGCTATATAACCTCCACTCGCGCACACCCTCCTTCTAATTCCCCATTTCACCCACCCTATCCAGCATTTTGTAATATGAAACAACTTTATAGAACCTTGTCATTTCACCTTGATCTCCTTCCCACAATTTCCTTCTTAATGTCCTCCCTCAACTAGCTTCTTAATGTTCTTTATCTACATTTTCTTTTCTCCATCAAAAGAATATCCTTTTGGAAAATATCCCCACCCTTTCTCTTCTTTGCCTGGATCCACCTCTCATTTAGCAATTAAAACTCTCTCTCTCTCTCTCTCTCTCATTGGTAATGCCCTTCATTTCCATTTTCCTAGTATATATCATTGCATTAAATAATTTCAAATTTTAAAATAATTTATTTCACATCTACTATAAAATCGAAAAAGACACGTAATTTCTTGTTAAAATTATGAGATTCTAATATGGGGTTTATAAGGCTTTGGATAACTAAAATAACTAGCTTTTGTAGTGTGATTTTTCCAAAGTTTTTATCAATTGGTATCAGAACATTCCTCATTCTTCCAGCTGCAAACGAGCGGCGTAGGTAATGACACTAGCATTGGAGTGTTCACCCGGGTCTAGTTAAAGGGGCCAGCGCACAATCAGCCTGCGTGAGCGTTAGATCCAATTGTAGGGTATCAGACTTGAGTCTCACGTTAAAATTATTGAATTATAATGCTTTAGACTCTCCAACTGCAACAGATAACTTTTGTAGCGTTGTACTCCTAAAATTCTTATCATAATCATTAATTAATTATAAGAATTTGTTATGTGTGTAAATTAAAATATTACATAAATATTTCAAGTGTTTGTTAATTATCTTTTTGTTAAGATATATTTGTGTATAATATAGTATTATATTTAAGATTTAAACTTTTTAAAGTGATATAAAGTATAATCTAGAATATTTATAAATTATTATTAAAATAATATTCATTTATTTAGACTAATTTTTAAGAATTCTTGAATTAAATTATTCAAATGCTGATTTTTTACATTTTAATTAAGAAGTTACCATCGACAATACAAACAAATGTTATGCCTAATAATTTCCTATTGGTTTGACTAGTATGACGTAACTTGAACGCATCCATATATTCAGATGGCAAATTCGAAGTGTGTATAAATTTAATTGGTAAATCATTTTGTCATTCTTTCTAACATTTGAATCAGTTTTGCGTTTATTAAAATTAAGTGTTAGAAACTGAGGATGATAGTCAAGTGAGTCAGAAGTTAAGCAATTACGTCCATTCAGCCAATAGTAATCGTGTCCATTTGTTATTTACTCTCCCAAGTAGGAGCAGAACAAACGCAAGTAGCAAACAGTATTGTTCACTATACAAGTAATTTGCTATAAAAGATTAGAGAAAATAACAGCCATGCTAATGAACTGCTGGATGTAGACATGCCCTGCACCAATTAAAGATTTTTACAGACAAGGATTGTTGGAAATAGCAGTAAATGAGAAAAATGATAGTAAATTAGTATAAAAATGGCAGTAAATTAGGAAGATACAAGTAACAGGGCAAAAAAGGCTTTAAAGTTTAAACTAGAATTCTCTTGTTTTAGCCTCGTAATGGCTACAAAAATACCTATAATATTGATCTATAAAAACATATCCATGTCAAAAGGTATTCATTTTTAATTGACACGATACTGTGAATCACAATTTTAGAAAGAGAAAAGAAATTCATAATTCAGAACCGTCACAGAAACAGAATAAGGGGGTTCAAGGATTCATGTACCTTGGTTAGGCAATTCCTTAACTTGTTACGGCATTTCAAAAGCATTCCTGTAAAACCTCTAAGGCAACCTTATCAAGAGAAATATCTCAAGATAATATAAAATAGCACAGGAGAATCAGATATAAATTTGGCAGTGTGGAATTCCTAAGAACGTTTAAAACTTCCAGTTCCCACACCACGTAAGTATACTTCTCCAAACCTAGATTTAGAAGACATGAGATGCCCTTTAGTGATTTCACAACAAAATTAAATTATATACAAACATTTTATCCGAGATTAAACAAGGTACGAGATAACCCTTTTTCTTTCTCCCAGATGCATGATTACTGATAGAGCAAGATAAAAAATGCCTAAAAAGCAAATTTCTGACAAGAGAATGCCCAATACACTCCAAGAATTGGCTTTCACAGAATTGATACTACAAAAACACCAATAAGTCACAATTCACTCAAGAATACATGAAATTTAGATTTAGTTTCCCCTATGGCTCCTGTTCCTGATCAAGCAGAGCAAGACAATTTTCAAAAGATAAAATACAAGTGTAACAAACTCTCAAGAAAATAACACAGTCCCGAACCTCATTCATAGAGCCATTTATTATACATCATAATCATAACCAGCAGGTATTAAGTCCAAACTGGGTAGCGGCTAAATGAATGACAGGGCAAGAGATGCAAAGTAAAAAATTAATAGGGTCAAAAGGTGGCAAAAACTTGAATATACTAGGCCTTAGCATAAGCTTGTTATAGCAAGTTTCTCTCAGTAAACGATCTTGTTTCCTTGTAAAGACAATTTGCAGTCAATCTAAATTCATTTATAATCTATAATTATATAGATTAGATTATAAACCAATCCATTTTAATTTTTTTAAAATTGGTTTAAATTTAGTTTTAAAATTTGAATTTAGTTTAAAATCGATTTTAAACCATTTTTACATATAGTAAAAATATATTATAATTTTTTTATATTATTATTAAATTATTATATCAAAACATGTTTAAATTTTATAATAAATAAAATAACATTATATTTGCATATATATATTTGTTAAGCATCAATATTCATTAAAGATAAAATATAAATATAATAGATACTTTAACTCATTACATCTATAAAAAGAATCAACAATACATGTCAAAAAAATATTTACGTATATTTTAATTTATTAATAATATTTTTAATATTTTATTAAAGTAATAAATATTTAGATATATTATAATTTTTATCCATTCATCATACAAATTAATTATATGAGTTAAATTTTAAATTACTTTATTTTATTTTATTTTATTTTTTAATCAGTTCAAAAATAGTTTCAAAATTTAAATTTAATTTACAATTGATTTTAAATTTAATTTTTGTTAAAATTAGTTTTAAATTTAATTTTTAATGTAAAACTGATTTTCAATACATTTCTAAATTTTATTTTTAAGGTAAAACTAATTTATTATATAAAACATTGTATTAAATCAGTGCATTTCAAAAAAATTTGAACAATATTTACCAATATATTATATTTTATAGAAGTGTATAAAATATTTATTATTATTTTTAACTTATTTTTAATGAATAAAGTTTATAGTGAAAGTTTAAATTAAAACCTATAAAAATAAAAATTAATAATATAAATAATAATAAAATTATTATAATATTTTAAAAATTAAAAAATAAACATAAATATAAAAAACAGTAATAATTAATTTAAAAATATTTTTATATTTTAATATCTTTAATTGTTTTGAATATTTCAATTTTAATTATAACAATTAATAAAAAAAATATTAGTGATAAAATATAGTTATAATAAAATTTTGTAAACTAATATAATACAGAAATTTAATAAGTAAATATATAAGGTAATAACTTCATACATATACATATGGATTTACATATGGATTTGGATAACTAAAAAAAATTCGATTTTAGAAAATAAATTTAGACACTAAACCGATTACACAAATACAATTAATAAAAAAACTGATTTAATATGAATCTAGATTTTTAAAACTAGTTTAATATTAGTTATGGATTGAATTTGTAAAACCAGATTTTTTGAACACCCCCACAGGTCTCTATCCATATGAATTTTCTACATCTTTTTGGATTAAAAGATATGAATGCATATCTTAGGCATAGCCTCTTATCAACAAATTGAAGGTAACACAATCATAAATACATGTATTTATGAATTGGATTTTTAAAAAACTAATCTGGACCCTAAACCCTAAACAACAAAGTTTGGTATGTGAGGTGTTTTCATTGGCCAAAACCCAAAGAACTTCCAAAATAAGCCTCTTGATTAGAACATTCCAATGGGTACAAAGTGAAGAAAGTATCAATGAAATATTCAATTAAACTCAACATCCATGAAACTCAGAACGAATCAGCTACTAGCCATGCAAACAACAAAGTTACAAGAATTGAAGGCTACCTAATTACTAAACAATTCAAAGCTAATACATGAACAAAGGACTTGAGCAATTCAAAGAAACGAGATAATTCAAATATTCAATGGTTGGTTTCAACAATATTGAAATCACACATTGACTATATGGCCAAAGTTGAACTTGCAAAGATTTGGATAATCCTCACCTCACAAACTTTCTTTTGGGGTTAAATTAGACCTAAACCAAATTTAAAATGTTATCAAAGCCTTTATAAATCTAATATTAAGTCAACATTAACTGTTTAAAAACAAGCTTACAATAGCTAGTGCAGATTTCTTCCTCTAGATCACCATGTAAGAATGTTATCTTCACATCAAGTTGTTCCTTCCAACTCCAAGTTAAATGCTTACAATAACTAGGAGGATTTGAATAAAAGTTAATGCTTCACTACAAGAGAGAAAACTTCATGAAAGTCAACACCCTCCTTCTAAATATAACTCTTTGCTTTGGAGTTATCAATCTTGTCTTAAACTTTGGAGGTTCAATACCTGAGATTCTTTCTTTTTAAAGACCCATTTGCAATAAACAATTATTTTTTCAAAATGAGAGAAGAGGATTGGTTGGCAAACTAATTAAAATATACGGAATTACTTGAAAGATTCTGGAACTTGCATTAGCTTCAAAATGAGAGACATCCCCCCCCCCCCCCCCTCTTTTCCCAATACAAAAAGTTATATCCTAATTTACTATGTAAATTACCAATAGTCACCGCAGGAGCAAATCCCGTGCCGAAAATGATGAAACCGATTTATATCTCTGATAATAATTTCTCTATGCACAACTTTTGATATCAACTTTATAACAGTATGACAATCTACACAAATACGAAGATTTTTAATGATACGAATAGAACACGGAGGTGGAATTTGAATCAGTCCAAAAGCCAGTGCTAGTCTTTCACTGTGCAGCCACAAGAGACGTTCCTTTTCATCATCCTCCACATTAAGCAAAACAACATTGCAATCCGGAACATATCCTGCATCCCTGGTTTTTTTATTTAACCATTCAAGCATTGCGCATATTAGTTTAATGTCAGAATGAGAAGTGTCTCCCACTCTAAAATAGTGAACCACACCTTGGTTCTCAACCCAGCTTAAGCCTGGTTCCTTCTTCACTCTTTTCTTTTGCATGTTTTTCCTAACAGAAGCAACGCTGTCCCATCTCCCTGCAGTGGCATACATGTTTGACAGAAGTACATGGGTTGCATCATCATGGGGCTCCATCTCAAGTACATGATGGGCACAAACTCTACCTAGATCAAGGTTCTTATGGATAACACAAGCACCAAGTAATGCACGCCACACCATAACACTAGGCTGAATTGGAATTTCTCCAATGAGCTTCACTGCTTCATCAAATTGGCCTGATCTTCCAAGAAGCCAAACGATGCAAGTATAGTGTTCTATACATGGTTCAATGCCATAATCCTGTAACATTGACTTAAAGTGAGCTCGTCCTTTGTCTAACAATCCTGCATTGCTACATGCGGACAGAACACCAACAAAAGTAAGTTTATTAGGTTTACAATCAGTCTGTTGCATCATGTCAAACAAATTTAGAGCCTCCATGCCCAGGCCATGCATAGAATATCCACAGATTATAGCATTCCATGAAACGTCATCTTGTTTGTCCATCTTATCAAATATTAATCGGGCATCATCAATTCTTCCACATTTAGCATACATATCTATCAAAGAATTGGCAACTGGAATGTCCTTGTTATACATGGTTTTCACAGTTAAGGAATGAATTTGACGTCCAAGCTCTAATACTGCTAAACTGGCACTGGCACAGAGGACACTCGAGTATGTAACTTCAGTTGGCTCTATGTCATATTCAAGCATACTTGAAAATAGATTCATTGCTTTCTCCCTGTACCCTAACTGAACATAACCAACAATTACAGTGTTCCAAGAAACCACATTTTTCTCTTCCAATTCCCTGAATAATTTCATGGAGTTCTCAATTTCACCACACTTGGCATAAACATCCATGAGGGCATTTGACACAAACACATTTGAGTCAAGACCAACTTTCAGTACATAAGATTGAACTTGCTTTCCGAAATTCAGCGAAACCATAGATGCACAAGCTTGCAACACACTAGCAAATGTAAAACTATTAGGGACAACAGATGATTGCCTCATACGACAAAACAACTCTAAAGCCTCCTTACTTTTGTCACTCTGAGCATACCGTGATATCATCAGACTCCAAAGAATAAGATCATCTTTTGGCATTTCCTCAAAAAACCGCTGCACATCAACAATCTCTCCAGACTTATAGTACAATTCAAGCAGTGCAGTGCCAACATAAAGATCCCTATCATAACAAGCTTTCAAAGCACATCCATGAACAACTTTCCCAAGCTCAAATGCTTCCAGACCAAGACAGGACTTAAGCGCAGCAGAAATGGTAAAATTGTTTGGTGTATACCCAATAATCCTCATCTGGCAGAAAAGTAGCAACGCGTCCTCATGGAAAGAATTCTCAGCATAGCAACCCACCATCCCAGTCCAAGATACCATGTCCTTACAATAAATGCCATCGAACACTCGACGTGCAGCATCAACATTTCCACCAACGGAGTAGGCATCTATAAGCGCAGTGCCAACATACGCATCGGAGTGATGACCAAGTTTATAAGCACACGCATGCACACTCCAACACGTGTCAGCCAAATCCATGCTCACCAGCAACTTGAGAAGAGTCGTAAAAACAAACGAATTCACCTCATGTCCTTCTCTAAACAACCTGAGTTTACAGCACAGGAAAGGTCACACTCAGCAGAGATAAAAGTTGAATCAAACTAACTAACAAACTGGTAACCAACTAAATAACTAACTTGTAACTAACAATAAAGCAATCTAAGACAGGTGTGAAAGAAGGTTACCTGAGAAGGAAGTGAAGGGCATGATCGAATTGGTGGGAACGAGAGAAGCCCTGAGCCAAGGTGACGAAAGAGACGGTGTTAGTGAGAGGCATTTCGTCGAACAGTTTGGAAGCGTCGTGTAGAGAGTCGAAATGGACGTAGGTGTTGAGAAGAATGTTTTGGGCGAACAAGTCGAGAGAAGCGCCTCCTCGCTTCAGAATGTGGCAGTGAAGGGTCTTGGCTGAGTTTGGGTCGCATTTTTGAATGGCTTGTTGAAGCATGCTGGCGTAGGAATGGGAATCCAACGTAGCGTGGGAATGGTATTGGCGATGGTGATTGCATGGCGTGGTCTTGCCATGTGCCGCTAATACCCCCAATACCCTTCTGTCACCCAATGACCTGATCATGTGATCATCTCTAGCAACTCATGCTACTCCCTCACCCTTTATTCTTCTACCATTTCAGCCCCGCAAAAGCACAAGAGACACACATTTTCTTCCTTATTTCTCAGGCCTTAAACGGCATTATGGCAACCAGTATATTTGAAGATTTGTTTAAAAATTATCATACTAAAACATAATATTTTAAATGTGAAAATTAAATAAAAATTAATAGACATATATAATAATCAAATATGTATTTTATTATTATTATAAATCATAATATTTTTATTTTTTCTAATATAAAAAATGTTAAGAATTCACTCTTTAACACAATCATTTTAATGCACTTCTAATTATCAACTAAAATTTATAAAAATATTTAAAAAATCTTTAAATTAAGAATGAATTCCACTTTTTTTCGTAATTTTTCATAAATTTAGTCAATAACTAAAAACATGTTGAAAAAATACGTTAAAATTTGCGCTCCTAATATTTTTTTTCTAATATAATTAGGTAGTATAAAAATTATAATTATTATTCTCAATGTCATTCTTCGTATAAATGAAGACAAGGCAAGGGATGTCCAAAGCTAATGGAACCGAACGTCTAACAAGACATTTGAACATTAAGCAATATCTTGTTATAAGTACTAAGCAAACACTTGATCATAAAAGATATGAATGTTTATCTTACTAAATAAAGATATAAGATAATTTCACCTTGTCTCTATATAAATAATCTAACAGCTTATAGGCACTCTAACTAAAAGGCTTATGCTAGGTCTCTCATCAATATGAATGTATACCTTTTTGGATTAAAAGATATTAATGCATATCTTAGCAGCCAGCCACTAACCAGAAAAGTTAATGCATCATTGATCTTAAAATAGTCAAGATATAGAAGAATGCAGTGCTGAACACTATCTTTGTGCAAAGCGGCATTACTCATTTGAAGAAACAAGTAGTCACCCCCTCGGTTATTAGAAGAATGAGTTTAGTATTTTTATTTTTATTTTTTGGTAATTGAATTTAATGCTTTATCAAACAGGATGCATCCACTTGAATACCATTGTTTAAAGTTCAGAAAATGTAAAAGACTCTTCAATGGTATGGGAGATTTATGGAAAATATTTCGTCTCCTCCTTTGTATTCCTGCCTCAATGAATAATATCTTGAATACGTACTAATACTATTCTTTGGCTAATCTATCTGCATAAATTTTACTTAACTCCTCTACTTTTGACTTCCTTTAGTTCTAAATTTGTATGAATCATGTACTTTAATTCCCAAAATTTTAAGAACATTTTGTTAATCTCTAACTTCAAAATAATTTTAATTATATTTTCCTATTTTTATAATTAAAAAATACTAATGTGGATTTTGCTTCGTAAAACCAGGGACTTACAAAGAACTTTCGAAATTTTAAGAACTAAAATAATTAAACCATAAAATCTTAGAAGACTTTACTCAACTTTTTCTGAGTTTAACTTATATATGGTTCACTTTAGTAAATAAACCATTCTATAATATTTATTCATTTAAAGGTGATGATGTTTCAATAAAAATTCGACGGATTTAAAGAGTTTAATACATCTAACCATCTATTTTGCACATTTTAAAAATTGAGGCTGCCTTTTGGATACATTTGAAATGCTTATCATTTTATTCATTGCTTTTGCAATCCAAGACGCTCGTTTGTGGAAGAACTTGTAGCTTTCCACAAATGAACCATGTACAACTCTCCTGGTTGAGACATAATAGACCGGTGGGAGGGTGGGCAAAGAAAACTGAAACGTGGATTAAATTAGACATAACTAGTATATATTACACTTCTTAATCATAGAATATCGTCAGCCCTGTGATCAGTACCCTCAAAATCAAACTTTACAGTATCGAAATTGATGCATCAAAATACCTTGGACTTGAAATTTTGACTTATAACAATTAAAGGGAAAAATAAAGCAAGGAACATTTCCTGGTTTACCGTTGGGACGTAAGGAGGCAATGAACCCAAGTACTGATACTGATCTCATAATCAGTATTAACATTTACTCGCCGCACTTCTCTTCATTCCGAACGTTCCACTGCTCTCATAATTGTTAGTGTGCTTGTGGCCATAATTCACCATTCCAACTTAAATGTGGAAGGTCATGTTTTGTCTGGTCTGAAAATTTAAGGATTTCTCTAACCCTGAACCCCCAACACCAATCTCGATAAACATTCAGGTTTTAACTTATCATATCATTAACACTCCAGCACTATAGGAATATGCACCATTCAAGTTAGACTATGTACACAAGGCAGCTCTACTTTCTTGTTTCTCCTGGATCTGCCAAACATAGCTCCACATCAACATATAATACGTTAACATTGGGCTCTCATCACAAAATGCCCCATTTTCCCACGCAGCAGTTTTGCCTTGTCAGGGGAAAAAGCAACATTGCAACATTTGGCTTTTCAATCTGATTTATGCCTTCCATTCCCTTTATCCGAATTCCATTTACCAATAGTAGCATTACATTGTGCCATAACCCAGATTTTCCCAACTGAAGGGAGCATCTGAGCCTACGGAAGGGTGTCCACGGAAGAACACACATACACACACACAGACAGCAGCAACAGCTAGCATTGAATAAATAAAGGGGCGGTGAAGCAAGCTCTGTGAACCTGGAATTCTTCTGTTATAGTGGATTTCTGCAATTGCACACTTGGCACAAGAATTCTTATTTCGTTTGACTAGGTAACTACTTTGCTTTTGCTTATGCTCCACTCTCAGTGACAGTTGCTCTATCTCATTCTCAATTTTTACCGAAACTTCACCTCTTTGTCTATCGGCAAGTTTTTGGGCAACCAGCACATTATAAGAATGATTGTTTCTCATCATGGCATAACCACGTGGAGTCTGTCCATTTGCATCCTCGAGGGATTCCCAGCACTTCAACCCAATCTATAGCAGCACAAAAAACACACAAGAACTCAATACAATTTGTAAGGAACGAAGGTGGCAAAATTGTACATTTGAGAGTAAAAAGTATGCTAAAGCGCAAACTGTCTTGATAATTCTACTAATCTATATTTTAGTTTTTACTTTGATATGCCCTAACCCTGTTTTCTATGCTAAAGAAATTTCCTACCAACAAATCAGTAAGCCCAAATGACAAGTGTCATTTCCTACCATAATACTAAAGTAGGGTGGAAAATTTACCTCCTGTGGGTCACTTGTTAAAGTGTCAACTACACTCTCAGAACCCGATGTGCATGCTGCCAAGTGCAAGGGTGTAATACCACCAGGACCCTCAAAATTCGGTGGAAATACATATTTCCGGGATGTATCATTTTTGCTAGGTATAGAATAGTGGATGAGCAAATCAACCATGTTTATGCACTTTCTTTTCACTGCTCTATTTAAGAGTTGAATTGCATTCAGCATCTCCACTGATCTTGTTGACAACCATTCCCCATCCAACTGTTTATCAACCAGCACATCCAGAAGGGTTTTGACTACCATGCAACAGTCTCTTTCCACAGCAAATGTGAGTACAAATTTGAACCTGTCAAGCGAATAAGCTGGAACCTCATCATGCCCAAACGAGAACCTTTCTCTTTGGAAGAGCCAGCCAAGCTCATTCAGAAAGTGCAAAGTCTCCTCCCTTGACCTGGGCCTTCCAAAATGATGTTCATGTTCCTCTGAAATGGCATCACATATCTGTTCCTCCTCATCAAATTCAGACTCCAGTGGTCTCAATTCCTTGCAAATGGTAGCATTAGCTATTATCACTGGAAAACTGTTACCCTTGAAACCATTTTCAACCTGCTCATAAATACAGGTCACTCTTCTCATAAGCATATTTTACATTCACATATGAAAATTTCAGGAGACATGCATATGTCTGCAAGCACACAGTTCTCCACAGTAATAAAATGCAAGACTACAGAACGTAGAAATCTACCTCGATGAAACACCGACCCAGAACACCAGGAGATGCATCCTGAACTTTAAAACCATTCAACTTTATCTCATCATATGTCACACCAGGATATGCCGATCCAATGACTTCTGCCGATGTGTAAGAGCCAGTACCTGTGCAATGAATCCTGCAAAAAATTTGAGACAAATATTAGGAAAACAGACCATAAAGAAAAATAACACAACATCCAAACAAGGCAGAAATCAATACTGACTTGGTGCCAGGAGTTGACAGGTTTCTACCCTTCAACGAAATAGAGGTTTCTTGTCCACTAACAATTGCCAAAGGAGAAATGGATATCAACTCCGGAGACTTCCATGTTCTCCATGTTTTGCATATGCGTATATTCCCTGGAATTTCAATTCAAGTGGATCTAATTCAACTCCTTGATTAAAAATGAGTAATCACAGATCTAATTGATAGAAGTAAAAATGTCCAAGGAGTAAAGCTTTGAACGTTATAATATACAGTCTAAAATAAAAAGAGACAGAGACCAAAAGTCACAAATCAGTATTAGTTATGGACTTATGGTACTCACCATCTTTGTGTGAAGCCAACTGACTGCCAGAATGAACTAGAAATCTTCCATTCCTCCAAAATTCAGAATCAGAATTTTGAATTAAGGAATGAACTCGTTGGAGGAAGTTTTCTTCTAGCTGCAAAGAACACAATATGCAAGTAATCAACTAGATCAAATCACAGAAGCTGCAAATGTGCATCACAACAGTTTACTTACTTTCACCCAGGCAGCAGAAGGCATTGTAGCATAAATTGATAGGACCACACAACCAGGCCTTATGTAGCTCTCCATGTCTGATGGCCTACTAGAAAGCCAGTTGTAAATCTAGAAAACAAAAAATGATGTTAACATCATTCACATATTTACATTCGCCAAAGCACATTCTGTCACATTCAATAAAAGTAACATTGCCAGATCAGATTTTTAAGAAAAGTACAACAATAGTTTCACCTGTGTTCGCAATGTTCCTGGGAAATGGCTAGGATGCTTGTCAAATAGTTTAAACATTATCCTCCCAGTTCGATCCTGTTGGAAAACCATGAATAGATCAAATCCCAAAGGATGAATTAACTAAGCTTGCCTAAATACACTATAAATAAAGCAAGGAGCAATATTTAAGTGAAAAACACAGGATTGTAAAATCCAAAACTAAACAACTACCTGCGCATCTGAATTCAAACTGGGAGGTGAATTATCAGAGCCCGAAGATGCATACCCAGCTTGAAATGGAACACTTTGAAGTGAACTAGGTTGTTGGATCCTGTTATTCGGCCCTTTAAAGAGGTCAAGAGAGATATTAGAACTATGAATTTGGCTAGCTTCTTTATCTCTGTTAACACCTCTTCCAGTTGAGATTATGCCCTCCGGCTGGAAACCTCTAGCCCCACCCTGCAAATCAAATTGCATCTCCACAACAGGAGAAGACGATGGCGACCTCTCTTCAACGGGGTTACTACTGTCAGATGAGAAATACTTCCGCGAAGACGTTATTTTTGGCAGGCTGTTGTCTTCTGGAGAGGAGCTAAAGAGTTGCAGCGGTAAATTAACTCGAACATCCTCCTGGCAATCTAAATCTTCAACTGGAGACTGCGAACTGCTACTGCTTCTTTCTCCACCAACTGAAAAGAATTGCTGTCCTCTGGACTGGTCAGCACTATCCCTACACTTGTCACTGCCACCATCACTACTGCAACTGTGATTTTGAGATAGTGATGCAACAGCATTGGGGGCGGGAGCAGGGGCAGATAGAGTGGTGGAAAGAACAGCAAGCAAGTCCATAGTTAATGGGGCAGAGGGGGAGTGGTTCAGTTGGTCATGATGATGATAGGCGGATGGAGTCTGCATTTGCACATGATCTTTTTTCCCATTGACATTACCAACATCCAGCAACTTGGTTGCAAGATCAGCAGGCAAAGGTATCCTATTGAGAATCTGCACAAGCTGCTCTCTATCCGGAATTTGTGACCTTTTCTCCTCAAATTTTCCTATTACACGTAATCATCACAACACAGACACACTTACTGTATGCTTGTTTTGGCTTATTTCCCTGATAAACAAACCATTATTTTCTACAAATAATCACTTTTGTCTCTATATTCTTTTGAAATTTTTCTTCCAAAATAATAAAAAAATAATTTTTTTCAATATGTTTCACATTAGCTTATTTATAGAAAAAACAAACGTTTCTTGTTCTTTAACCATCAGTACTGAGCTTTAAAAAAACCGACTGTATTTTCATGATTAATTTTCCAAAAATTAAGAAACCATTATTCAGCGTTTTTTTTCATATGATTACGGAAAAAAAACTACTTAATTTTTTATAACTTCTCGATAAATTTTGTACACACTAATTTTTTAGATTAAACATAAATAAAAAAAAATAAACACGCCTTTAAAACGTTCGATTCGAACTTACTAATTTAAAATAAAAACCATTAAAAACTAATTACTTCTTAAAAAAGAAAAAAGAAAAAAGGGGGTCTTCAGTCTTTACCTTGAGAGGCTCCAGCTATGGCAGTCAACAAGTTGAAAATTTCCAAATTGGCGGCGGTGGGTACGGGTGTAGCGGGAGCAACATCCTCCGGCTGAGTTTTCCTCCGGCGACGGTTATGCCCGGCGAGTCGCCGGCGACAACTACGCTTTCCCTCATCGAACTCGGAGAGCGGGTGAAACCTACTACACTGCTGGCAGAACCGTTGCATTTGATTGGCGAGAAGCGCTTTGGAAGCTTTGCTATGAGCCTCACACACTTTGTGCCTTCGGTGATAGTCCTTCGCCTTGGACAGATCCTCTCTGCAGTTATCGACCTGACACATCGGATACGATGCCGTTCCGGGAGAACCGGACCTCACTCTCTTGTTGTTCGCTCTGGCTACGACGCTGCCAAGATTCAACTGCAACGGCACACTCTCTTCTTCGAAAACGTCGTCGTTGGAGGAGGGTAAGGGTTTCCCAACGAACCTCACGCTGTCCCAGTTCCACTCTTTGGCACTCCAACTCTCGCTCTGGGGTTCCCGAACGACGCCGTATGATAGATCGCGCTTCTTGTGCATCAGAATCGGAGGAGGAGCCACTTTTTCCATTTCTAAAATTTTAAGAATACAAAAAGGTTCCTTAATGGCTTTTGTGAAGGAAAGGAGGGGTTAGTGAAAATTAGGCATGCCTTTTTTTCATGATAACTCAGATCTGAGTTTGTGAAAGGAGGGTGAGTGTTTTTTGGGAGATTGGTGATGGTGTGAGGTTGGGTTGTGGTTTGAGTCTTTGTTGGGTGGGAGTGGCAGGGTTTGTAAATTGGGGGGTTTTGAGGGGGGTTTTCAAAATGGAAGGAGCCGACTATAGAAGAATCCAAGAGGTTTCGGAGTCCCCACTTGGCGTTTCCGTACAAGTGCTTTGTTTTACTTTTCTGGTAAAGGGATCTGTAACCAAACAGTACTATTGCTTTTAATATAGAGGGATGTGATGGGAATTCCACTGCTCTTTGCCGTATCCCTATCTATCCCATCATCATTCTTTCTTATTACTATTAATCTTCTTTATTATAATTATTTTTACAAAATGCACAATTTGTTTCATAAATTATTTTTTTATTTTATTTTTCACATCAAATATATTGACCATCGACCATTCAATAGGATAGAGATGATGAAACAATATTTCTGCTACTTTTACAAATATTTTGTGTGAACCCGTAAATTTATATCATTTTTAGATTAATAATTATTTTTAAATTAAATTATTAATTATATTGTTTATTAATATAAAATTAGTAGTCACGGTTATTTTTATATAAAAAATATAAAATCTTAAAATTATTAATTATAAAGAGTATAATAAAGTTTTTATATATTATAATTTTTTACCATATTAGTAATTTAAACATCATATATAAGAGATTATAAAATCCTCTTTATCAATAAATTTTATTTTTTATATTATAATTTATCACAATAATAATAATTTGAATAGATGTTATATTTTTAAAAATAATAATTATAATTTTATGATAAGAGAAATTAATTTATAAGTAAAGTAAAAAATTATATTTTATATTTTTAATAAATTGAATTTAAAAAAGAAAATGTGTTTTACGGTAGGTGTTGGTACCGTACTTGGTCATTCACGGGTTCGGTTTTGCACTTTTTGTTGTAGCGTATGTATCGGTTCGGCTGGCTATTATGGAATTATGATGAACAACTGTCTTTAAGCGGAGCCGTACATGTAAAGTAGTGTAAGATGGAAATAAATTGTTGTTCAAGTTTTTATCTATTACGTTTCCTAGTGCCCATTTATTGCACCATTTTCCTTTGCTGCGATACACAAACTCTTTCTTTATCTCCCGCTTTTTTAAAAAAAATATTTCTATTTATCTGTTATTTTAAAAGTTTAAAATGACATTAATTATTTTTAATTAATTATATTTTTTATAAAATTAAAAAGTAATCAACTGATGAAAAGATAAAAAAAATATAACATAGAATAAATTATAATTTAATAAAAATAATAATATATAAAAACACCCATGTTCGTACGAAGTATTTGCCAATTACCATTGTCTTCATGCCTGATCACCGCTCCAAACAATGCAAGACTAAGTTGAGATTCATATACCAGTCAAGTACATTTTATTTAGAGAAAGAAAAATGGAAGAAAATAAAATATTTATTTTAAATAATTTTAATAAAAGAGATAAATTTTCTAGATAATTCTCTACGATACTTTCTGATAATTAGGCTCTATTTTTTTATATAGTAATTATATTTTATAATTATAAAAATATGAGATTTTATGTAAAATCACAAAAATATTATTTAATTTTAAAGTTCTCATTGACATTTTTATTAATTAAAAAATTATTATTTTGAAAAAGATAAAGTCACAACATTTCATTTTTTTTAAAATTAAAAATGTTAAAAGTTGTTATTGATGATATTTTATTTAAAAAAATTAAGAAGTCTAAACCTCATCATAGGTAATATTTAAATTTTAAAAAAATTAAAAAGTTATCATTGGTGATTTTAAATTGATTTATATATAAATACTAAAATTTTCATTCATAGTAAATTACTAGTGAAGGTAAAAGAGGTATTTCAGTATAGTTTGAGTTCTTGAGAAAAAATATAAGTGTTCTAATAGTAATTTCTTTTTAATAGTGAGATTTTTATAAACACTTGTGAAGTTATATTATTAGGTGTGAAAATCTAATATATGTGTATATGGCAAATATTGTATCATTTGTAAAATTAAAGTATTAGTTAGTCAATATATTCATTAAAGTGAATTTTTAAAATAAGTAAAAATTATTGTGTATAAGTGTCTAATATCCATCTTCAGTTCATACAATTTTAATAATGAGCGATAATGATGTCTAACAAATATTTTAGATACATCAATAACACCGTTCCCTAACTTCTCCTGTTGAGTTGTATATTGTTTTCATAAAAGATGATGAGGAAGCATATGCAAGTAAATACTAAAAAGAGAGATAGAATGAAAACATAACTAGTGGCGGCTCAAGAGTTTTTAGGGCCTAAAGCAAATTTAAAAATGAGGCTTTTTTATTAATAAAATAATTTATTATTAAGAATTATAGTTAATTAAATATTATTTGTAATATCAATAAAAATTTAATAATTAAATTAAATATTTGAATTAAAACTAAAAAAAAAATTGGGGGGCCTAAAGCCTTTGCCTAACTTGCCTGGGCCTTAGGCTGCCTCTGAACATAACAACAATAAAAACTGATGACAATGGTAAAGAACAATATAGAAATAGTGAAGATAGTGAAGATGACACTGTGGATGATGATGTTGATGATTAGGAGACCTATTTGTCAAACACAATGGTTAACCAACATCCATTAAGGAAGTTACCTTTTATGAGTTCGTTTGTTAGATCTTGATGCTATGCATGTATTTGAGTTTCTAGAGTATGCAAACTTCGGTAAATGTTATTTTTATTTATCTTGTTGATGATGTTTATTTTAGTTTTTAAATTAGTTTATGTTTGTTTTTGCATTTGTTAGAGCATTGTGATGTGGATGAAGAATTATATGATGGAAAACAATTCAACAATAAAGAAACCCTTATATGAACAATTAAGGGTTATAGTATATCAAAAGGAGCTAACTACAAAGTGTTTGAATCAGAACCTAATACTTTTTATTGTAAATACATGAGGTCTAGAATAGATTGTAAATGGCTACTTCGTGTTACTTTTAAAAAGAATGAGTATATTCAGAAGATAAGAAAGTGTAATGGCTTACACACATGTATAAGGATCAAGATCATAGGAAATTGAATTCAGAAACCATTGCAAAATGTATCTTGCCAATGGTATTGTATCAAGCACATTGCGACCAATTTTTTGTGAAGATTTAAGTCTCATTATCTTCATAAACTTGTCATTCGTATAGGTAATTCACAACTTAAATGTAATTTTAAATTGATATGTTTTTAAAAGTACTTTTATTTATATTATGGTTGTGTATTTTGCAAGTTATTCAAGAATAGAACATGAATTTAATATTTATTATGAGTGGATGCGGGAACATAGAGAATATACAAACTAGGTTTATGAAATCCTACGAGAGAAATAAGTTCTAGCATATGAGGGAGGCCAGAGGTAGGGTCACATGACACAAATCTAGTTGAATGCATTAATTAAGTGTTAAAAGGCGCTTGCAATCTTCCAATGACCGCACTTGTTAGGGCAACTTACTTTTGATTGGCTCAATTATTTGCATATAAAAGGAGTGAGATATATGCACGAAAAAAGGTTGGGCACATGTTCTCTAAATTTGTGATGACCTAACTTCAATCAAACTACCAAGGTGCCAAAAACTTGCATGTTACTAAGTTTGACAGACGAAGTGAGGCATTCTATGTTCAGGATTTATCTAACAAACAAGAACATAGAATTCATCTAAGACAAAGGTACTATAACTATAGTAATATGCAAACTGATATATATTCATTTCGTTATGTAATTACTACTTGTTGTAGTCAAAACATTAATTGACATGCTTATATTGATGAAGTTTATGTGATCAAGGAAGTTTGCAAAATTTATAAGAAGGAGTTTAAGGTTATCGGTAATGAAAGCACATGACATTGTTATATAGGCCCAAGACTTTGTCCTAATCCTGTTTTATGTCGTACAATGAAAAGTCGTCCCAAATCAACTCGTTTCCTTAATTAAATAGGTATGCATAAAATGAGAAGATAACGATTATGCAATCTTTACCAAGGATAGAACCACAGTCGAAGCCAATGTCCTAATGCTCCAGGACCAAGTTCCTACTTTTTAATTGCCATGACATTGTTATTTTTAATTATCATGCGGTTGTTTTTATGTTATTTCAGTGGTTGTTCTAATTTATACTTGTTTTAAATTATTAATGTTATTGTTTTATGTTCTGAATATGGTTGTCCTAATTTGTACTTGTTTTAATCAATAAGGAGATAAGCAAATAAGTAAACAATAAAACTTCATTAAACACAATTAAAATCATAGAAATATATCAACTTCATTACATAGCAAACTAATTAAAACCACCTAAGAATGATTTGACTATCCTCTTTTTTCTTTTTTCTTCTTAATTAATAACGGGCTATATCTATTAAGGGCTTGAATAAAAACACGTAATATTTGTGAGAAAAATCTCCTTCATCGACCTCCTCCATCTAAATAATCACGAACACCCTGATTCTCTGCTACTTCATTAGTTGCTTGCTCATCTTCAAGAATGTCATCATACACTATATGACCATATGCTTCAATAAATATGTTGTCGTCTTGTGTTAAATCCCATGACATTATTGGCAAGGATCATTCATCACCTAGTAAGAAAATCTCTTGAGAAGTTGCCCCATACTCTGGTGTGACAAGCTAAGGTCGATAGACATCCTTCTATTGTAGATTCCCTTCTTCTACAATTGCCTCCACGTTTAAGTCAAAGTTAAAGTGACAACTGCACTAAGAAGTCATCAAAATCAACGTTAAATTCAGGATTGTGTTATGAAGTTTGACCTTCATCACAAACAACGTTAAATTGCGAATTGTGCTGCGAAGCTTGAGTTACATCAGGATCAAAGTTATAAATGCAGAAAAATTGGCTAGTTGATCCACTACCAATGGTACGATCAACAAACCTCCTTTGTTGGGTATTTCTACTCCTTCGTCCATGATGTATCCTTACTAGCTATAAACATTTATCCTTGTTCTTGATGTGGCGGTACTTTATCCCATTGAAATGGTTGTTACTGGTTAGA